AATCATTTGTTCGATTCTCTTGTTCCTTTATAGTCGATTCTTCACAATAATCGATACTACATGGTATTTAGACAAATCTACAACAAGTAATTTTAGACAGAGGTAATATGTTTCATTTACTTCTGATGTTCTTTGTGCTATCTTGACAAATAATGAACACATTGGAAGTTTTTCCTGAAAAAGATGATACAAGTTGGCTGATGAGGTTGGCTCATGTTGACATTGATAAAATGCAGAAGTTCTGTCTACAAAGTGTGAACATCAAACAAATCATGGTCATTTCCTTTTCCATCGAAAGGCTGGAGTCACAGGTACATCAGTACTACGGTTCACGGAGACGTGACTGCTACATACTCCACCAATGCTCTCAGCCGGAGTACGAATTCTAGTTCATTTCGTGCTGCTTTAAAATCGTAAGTTTTTTAAAATAGCAGGATTTCTTCATTCATTAAAAAGAAAAAAGTTGCTCGGTTAACTAGAAAAAAGTTTTGCTAAGACCGCACGTAGGTGTCATTGTCATGGTCCCTCTTCTAGAAGGCGTCATCGCCATCCCTAAGCTCTGAGCAAACGCCCAGCAGATGATCGTCGACTCAACCCACACTATATAGGTTGGGTCAAGTTGTATGAAGATTCGCGTCAGAAGTCACCCACATGCAATCAAACAGCGCAGCTCTGACTCTGACAAAGAACTATAAAAGACAAAACCAGGCACGACTGACGCCATAAAAGATCACCGAACGGCCACCTGCAGCCAATCATTGTACGTCACATTGTACGTCACAGGGACCCGTCGCTGCATGTTCGACCTCATAGCAACAAACAAAAAAATCTAGGCAATCCCGTGGACACATCGGAGAAGAGCCGACTATCTTAACCATTGTCGCATCGCAGACATCACCTACAGCTCCAAAGACAAAGTCCCCAGGAGGGTATACGACGCCAAGGCGTCGTCATCGTTCGATCACACAAGATCAAAGGTTTCCCTCGGAGACAACGTGATGGCCAGATCCACATGGGAGGGGTGCAGCAGCAAAGCAGCGATGCATCCGTTAGCCGACGGGAAGCAAGACCACCAAAAGCAAGGCCACCGGACACGGCACAAACCACCGCACCATGCCAGCAAGGCAAAGAGGAGCACTGCCCGAGACCAAGCCATGCACCAAATGCATAGACGCGTTCCCGGCCTCTTGCGCCATATCAGGGCACCACGCTAACCACCGCAGCAAAGCACACAGGCCTCCACCACAACACCACCTCCCGCCTCGATGCACTCTACCGCTCGGAGCTAGCACCGCCGGCAGATACACCACCCGAAAAAAGCGGATCGAAACTAGGCAGCACCCCCTCCCAGTAGCGACATGAGCAGATCCCACCGCCGGCGGCAACCAGCAGGAACCCTGCATCTGTTCAACTAAGCTCAAGTACGGTTGATTTCAGGATGCAGTGAAGCAATTGCGCCCACTCTTGCTCCGAATGCAAACCCACAGCTATTTTTTAAGATTCTATTGCAAGCACATGGGCCCCTCCTCAATCACTTTGAGGTGACAACAAAGATCTAGGCTATTTGAGCGTGGAGAGGACAGGTTTAATGTGCTTACAGGCATATCCTTAACCTGCACACTCATGCCAACGGCAGAGTTAAGCAGCTCCACAAAAGAAACTGACGGATCAACTAGTTTTAGCAAGCCAGAAAGAACTACTAAAAACCACATCCAATTTATGAATCAGTAGTTGCCAGCGTCTCCAACGATAGGACAATTCTATTATCAAACTGAAATGCAGAAAAAAAAAGTAACACAGAAAGGAAATTAGGCACCACGGGCGTGGTAAGCAAGCACGATGAACAAGTTCAAACGGACCACAAGTGTACTCTTTCGAAAATTGCTAGCTAATTCCATCAAACTTCGGCAAAAGCTAATTAGTTATAATATTTTCACTGTCCTGATCTTGCCTTACGTTTCTTTACCAAGATCTATACCAGCCCCCTACCATGCCACAGAAACTAAAGGATGAAAAGCAGTAGATTGTTACAGAATATTTTCCAAACTGACTAGATCATCAATAGTTCTGTAGCATCAATAAACCACTCCAGTCGCTGATCAAAAGCAGTTCTACGCTCCATAGGGCAAAAGAATACTGTGTGATCTGCATACATTTAGAGGGAACAAATTCAATAATAGATAAACAACAGAAAGGGGAACGTAGTAAATGCAATGTTACAACCATGTAGAAATTGCAAATGCAGCACTGGGAAGAACAGAGAAAATGTAGAACAAGATCCCCTTATGTAAATAATCATCCGAAGATTCCCTTAAGAAGATACTCTCTCTGTAAAGAAATATAAGATCGTTAAGATCACTACTTTAGCGATCTAAACGATCATATTTCTTTACAGAGGAAGTACTAAATGAGCTTATCTCGTAGTATTTACTTGAGCTAGGAACCAACACTAGACAAAACAAGAATAGCAACTTTTAGCAAAATTCTTAACTGAGAAATGTTCAATGAGAGCCATTTCAGTATCAGAAGTAGAAGTTTGACCCTAATGCGATAATAAAAAACTGAATAACAGAATGTTGTTTGATGAGAGCCATTTCAGTATCAGAAGTAGAAGTTTGACCCTAATGCGATAATAAAAAAACTGAATAACATAATGTTGTTTGATGAGAGCCATTTCAGTACCAGAACTACTACTCCGTAAACAAATATAAGAGTGAAACACTTATATTTCTTTACAGAGGGAGGACTAATTTGATGCCTACTAAAAGAATGAAAATCTCACATCACAGCATAGGCTGAATGAAAAAAAATGCAGGCTCTTTCATGCAAACTGTTACATGGGCAAGGTGAAGTTGCATAGAAGTTCTCATTAAATTTCCAACCGAGATTAAGAGACTAATCAAAAAAGAAAAACAGAAGGTCAGGAGAAGTGTTGTAAGCACTCATCAGAGCTGAAGGAGTAGGCATTATTAGTACGCAAAACATCTTCATTCTATCATTCACAATTTAACATCACTATACATCTGTCAACATTTTACAGCTCTAGATGATACTCGCAGATAGTGTAGACCAATGCGAGCAGAAGTATCTTTTATATCATCTGAACATGAATATAAAAATTACGTATTAACTACTGTACTGATTATGTGTGGGAAAATTGGACATCACCAGTAACACAATATTTTCTGATTTAGATTTCACATGTTTAAAACATGTACAACAAGGACAGGTTTTATTGTCATCACAAGGGCTCAGTAAATTGTTTGAGGTTTCACTTCTCTTTTTTAACCTTACTAGTTACAGTTTTTGCCCACTAACCAGCCAAACTCAGTCTCTTCTTTCTTATTTGTCCCCAGATATTTCAGTTCTTTTTGATGTTTGGAATCTAACTGATGGTTTGGACATATACAGCACAGGCCTGCACAGCAGACGGTTAAGGCGTGCTGATAATGTCAAGAAAGGTCGAGGTAGATCAAACTTGACATGGTTGGAGTCCGTTAAGAAAGATCTGAAGGACTGGAATATCACCAAAGAACTAGCCATTGACAGGGGCAAGTGCAAGTTAGCTATGCACATGCGAGAACCAGGAGTTGGTTTCGAGATCTTATGGGCTTCAAGCCTTCAACTCTAGCCTACCCAACTCCTTTGGGACTAGAAAGGCTTTGTTGTTGTGGTGGTGGTTGGAATCTAACTAATAAGATATAATGCATAGAGAAACACATAACTCCATAGGTCTCTTAGGGCACACAGAGCATGCCAAATTCGCCATGTACTCTCAACAGACGCTGATGCCAAATTTGTTAAGTTTGCCCCAAATCCCTGTCAAATGGTCCCAACGCTGACGCGGACTAACAGATAAAAGAATATTTTATTTCCCAATCAACAACCACAATATCTCTCTCTCTCACGCATCTTCTCTTTCTTTCAGAGTCAAACCCTGACTTCACACACCACCAAGCCCACTGCCCCCACCGGAGGCATCCCGCCAGCTCCAAACCCACCTGTTCCTCTCCCTCCTCACTGTTGTGCCCAACTGGGCCACCACCGTGTCAGAGCGGATCCACAAGCCGCTCTCTTTCTTTCAGAGTCAGACCCTGA